CGACTTTTGACTGTATTACCTGTAATAATAATAACAGCAGTTATTTAAAATATGGTATAAATAAAGAAGCACAGAAATCCGGAAGTTAAAATCAGTTTTCATATAAATTTTGTACATAATACACCACACACAATCAGTGATCACAAAAATAAAATGACAACTATCAATAGATGCAAAAGAGAATTGCTTTAATTAAGAGATGCTATAAAATTCCTTAAGGTTTTTTATTGTAATCAAAGAGAAATGCTGACCATCACGAAATGTGAGACAGTACAAAGTCCACAATCCGGACTCGTCCGGACTTTGGCGATTCCGGATTATAAATCATTAGTTTAAATCTGGTAAGATGGCATGCAGAAATTATATAATTAAAAAATATGAAACCATAATTTATGAAATACAGAACAATTATAATCTAAAGGGTATCAAAATTTATTTAAAAAAAAGCTTAATATTCATTTGCTTACTTTATTAAACATTTCTTTCAACGTATGTTGTTTAAGTTGCTTTGTTTTTTGTGCTAATACTTTCTCTTTAATTTTATAAACATACATATTTTCATATGTATGTTTATATGAAACATAATTTCTTGTTCAGTTATAAAGTTTCACTGTTCAAGTCCTGTAATTGCTGTGTCAAGAATACTGACTAACTTGTCAATCAAAATTTTTTCGTTTTCAATAACCTCTCTGTCACTTTCTTCGCTATCGGAAGCGGTATTTTCTGGATCTAGAACCCATACTAGAGATTTCGCCGTCTGTTAATTGATTGATGATTGGGGCTTTGTCATCACAATGAAAACCTTCTGTTATATCATCTTCATTTATTAAGCTTTTCCAAATTTCTTTACAAAATCCAATAATTGGAAAATTTTACCTTTAGTTTGCGATGTCCGAAAACCTTCAAATTCAAGGCTATCATCTTCATCGTCCTCAACATGCAATATGATACCTGGCTTTGAGGTCCGGATTATTATAGATCATTCCGGATAATGGACATACAGATTATGAACTTTGTACTGTAGTATGTTGTGCAATAATTTAATCAGCATCCCAGACTGATTAATAGAAAAGGCATATCTTACTCCATAACCTAACAAACCACATACAATATGAATAACCCAGTTGATGATCAAAGAATTAGGACACAAAGCTTTGTATTACAACCTTATTCATCAGACACTGTTGTGACAGATTATTATCTGTTTTATCTCTAGAACACTTTCTCTCTGTGTATGTGTGTGTGGTGGGGGGCTCTGAAGTACCCACAGGTCAAAATGGGTGTTGTGGACTTTTTTGCGACCAAATCACATTCCTTTTATAAATGCAAGGTTTTTAAGCATTTCATGGCAAGACAACGAACAGATCATATAATTGATTAGGACATTAAGTATTTTCTGTTCCAACTATTTCCTGTCTGTTATTTCAAAATTGCATTACTTTTCAACTAACCAAATACATAAAGGTAAAACGATATTAGAAATTATTAATTAAGCTGTAACAATTTCTCCTTTCAAGCAAAAAACAAAGATCACACAACTACATTGTTAGGGAAGATCTGTAATTTAATAACATTAGATGACAGTCTGCTATTTCATCTGAGTTTTTTTAACCTTTCAGTCGGCATGGTTACTTTTCTCCATTTGCTGCTGAATCATAGAAATGTATTTCCCAAATACATTATGCTCAATCAAATGTCCATTTTTTTTTTTTTTTTTAAATCTTTTGCAAGACCTCTCAAACTTTTGAACCATCAGTCTCTGCTAGGTAACTTAACAAAGTCTCGAAAGTATGCATTATCATTACAATCAAGGAAACTGTAAAGGTAGTTAACAATTATGTAAACTAAATCACATAACAAGCACACTGGCAATTTCACCAGTTCTGTATAATGAGAGTTGATCCATACATTGGAGATGTAGGGTTAAGTAATATGCAATATTTTAAATCAACATAAACTGGTTTCATAAATCTTAAAAGAAAAAAAAGGGAGACTGTAACAACTATAGCTCAAAAAATCCAATACAGTACCGAAATCTAGATGTCCATTATCCCCAATGATCAATCCGGACCTCAAAGCCACAGATCTTTTTTTTTTTTTTCGGGGGGGGGGGGGGTTATGCTTTACACCTGCACATTTCCTTTTTTCTTCCATAATAAAACATGTGTGGGATTTTCACTTAAAAATTCCAATTCTTAATTTCACTCATGCACTAAATAAAATACATTATTATGAAAAAACAATCAAGTAAGCATAAAATATGAGAGATTAATAATTTGGCTCTGCAGCTCAGTGTCTGCTTAGGCATCACATCTCAAACCGAAACATTTGTGTGTTTTATATCTCTGATGCCGACCTGGCGAGTCATTATTTATTATATATTGCCTTCATCACTGCATGTTTATCACTACATGACAGCTTCAGTAATAACTCATGCAGTGATGTCTAAACTTTTTTTTATATTAGTAATTGAATAACATAACAGAGTATGGCAACCTTTTTATGCTTAACATTATGTTTTGACAATGATGATAGATTTTTAAATGCTCTAAGAAATGTTGACAAGGAAAAATTCAACAAAAATTTCTTTCCATATGATAAAAATAGATTTTATTAATGAAATTCATAGGCCAAAAGATTACATTTTGTGCTATTTTAACTAAGAATAACTGATATGTTATTCACCATAAACCCAGAAGCGGCTGCAGAATTTAGGGAAGACACAATTTCTGGTATTTGGGAAGCACCGAGCGGCAAAATTAAGGGATGAGAAGTTTTTTATAATTTAGGGAGGAAAGCACTGGAATCCAAAGTTTAGGCGAGGCGAAAATTTAGATCTTAGGAAGGCACTTTGTAGCAGAATTTAGAGACTGCACCAGGTGGTATCTAGCGCCGGCCCTAGATAAAGCCTAAGTAATGTGCGAGTTTATTTATTCAGAAGTCAGATTAGTTTTAAGCATGTGCAAGAAATAAACGTAGTTATAGTAAATAACTAATACAATTCAGGCTTAATTCAGTACGCAATAAGAGCAAGACAAAATTTAGCGGAACAACTTGGCTTTCGTCACCAATCTTGTGATACACAGCCAATAATGTATAACGGACGCTATTAAGCTAGGCTAAAATTATCTTAACTGATTCCAAGGCATTTCAGTTAATGTAGCAGACTGTGCTGCTCCTTAATCTTCTAATTCGATCCAGCTTATTATTTTTTGCAGGATGTTATTATTACAGCAATTTTATAAAAATGAAACTTGAACTTTCGATTATATCGAAAAGAGTTTCCAGTTCTGGAGCTGCCAAAGGATCTACAAAGCAAAACCATGTTTTGATGTCCATTAAACAAAAAGTAGAATTGCTGCAAAAAAATGGATAAAGGCATATATATCTGTCCCAAAATTATGCGAGGAGTATGGCATTGGAAAGTCAACTGTATATGACATAAGAAAAACAAACTTTTTGAATTTTTTATGGAAGCAACTTAAACAACTTACATTGAAAGAAATGTTTAATAAAGCAAACAAATAAATATTAAGGTCTTTTTTGTAAATTTTGATACCCTTTAGAACATAATTGTTCTTTATTTCATATTTTTAATTGTATAATTTCTGCATGCCATCTTACAAGATTTAAATTGATCATTTATTATCCGGAAAAATCCCAAATCCGGACTTGTCGGGACTTCGACGATTCCAGATTTCGAACTTTGTACTGTATTAAAGTATCTATTTATTCAATAAATAATTATTATTTAGAGAAAAAAGACACACTGAATTTAATTTTTATTCTCATGATGTAAAATTATCTAAATTAACTAACATTTGCCTTTGAAGACAAAGACTACTTTCTATACCGGTTTCTGCCAATTTCAAAATTATTTTGTAAAATCACTAACCTGAAAGGGTTATCAATTTCAAACCTCAATTTTTCCTCATATCAATTTTGATATCCAAATCAAAATTAATATCCAAATCAATTTTGAAATAAAAGATGCACAATGTCTAACTGTTTATCACAAGATTTCCATGGACAACATAACTGTAGCAAAATTTATACAGCCAGTGATATATGCATGCACGAGTTTGTTGCATGTATTTAAAAGCATACCCTATTGTTTCATAGTTTAACTCTCAGCAATTCTCAGTCATTTTGTGCAGTATTTAGACTTTAACTGCTTTGCAATGGCATGTTGCAGAACTAAAAACCCTTCTGCTGATGGGTGTGTCGTATATGCATCAATCCCAAATGTCGCTAGCAGCCGGGTGATGCACTGGTGCATTGCAGCTTGTATTGATCTTCCAGAGAGGTGTTGCACATATGCATTCTCAAACATACACATTCTTTCAGAATTTTTTAAATCACTAGATAGCACTCCATGTCCACTACAGTTAGCTTCTTTGAACATATATGTACTTTGCTGACCTTGTATCAGTGAAGTACTTTCCGATTCTAGTGATTTGTTTAGATGTACAAGCAGATGATATAAAGTAAACAAAACCCAGCTGACCCGCAGTTGGCTTCATGTGATATAAACATTGAACAGTTTCCGATGCTTTAAATTTGTTTTTTGTTTTTCTAAGAGAAGATTGGGAGTGGAGCTGTGGTTTTAAGAACTCCGGTTTGTATTCAGTTTGCATCTTCTTTAGATAAGACATAAGTTTTTTGCTTCAGGTAATATAATTAAACTAATAATGTGATGAGAAAGAAGTTTTCAATGGAAGACGAGTATATTCAAATTGTAAAGCCCATGAGTATTCATTCGAGCCCACAAGTGACTATTTTGACACTGAAAACTCTAGATTTAAGTGAGAACAGTGATTTTGATACCGAAATTTTCTCAGAGACTGAATTGGAAGTTTGTTTTGCTTTCATCTCACAATCCAGCAGAACAGTGGCTACTCAGTCATGAACTTGATCTGTTAAATAATTGACTTATGAATTTATAGAAATTGCAGAAGTAAACTTAATTCAAAGTTATGAAAATGAAATTGATTTTTCACCCTTTTTTTATTATCTAATGAACATAATAGTTGAAGAAACTAATAATTTATATGAACAAAAGATGAGTGAAAGTCCATCTTCATCCAAAATAAGCATACTCCTCTAGATGTGCCTAAAATGATGGGATTCATGGGATTAATTATTCTGCTGGGATGGAATAATTAAAGAGCTTGACCTGAAAATGTGTTTCATAACTAACGAAATGATAGTGGCTAGATTATCACACACTAACTCCTTTCTCAATTATTTATACTATAATATTTGATCATATATTTTATTATTTTTTACATATGTTTAGATAGAGATTTAAGTAAATTTTTTTACATTTTATCAAGATGAGTCAAATATTTTATTTTGTATTTATAGTTTAACGACTTTCTTTTTTTAAAGTTAGGCTTAGTCATGCGAAATATCCTGTCTTGCAATGCAACAACACACCATCTACAAAGTGCGTTGCTCTAAGTGGCATGACATCTCATGAGAAGATTAACTGCTGATGCACCCGTCTTGAAGAGGTTAAATCAAGTTTGGTCAACAGATGAGGCAGGTGGTCCACTAAATTTCATATACCATATTCATTTGTGTAAATTTCATGAATTGGTTTTCCCTCTCTTATTCTTTATGTATAAAAAATATGTAATTTTTTAAGCAATTTGACTGAAAAACTGAGCAGTCAGAGAGTTTACCGAAAAGGAAAAGTTTTTATCACATGAAAAATGACCGAGAAGCTTATGCAACAAACAAAAAAAGGAACAACAGAAAATAGCATAAAAATCAAACAATCTAGAAACAAACATTTCAAACATCCATTATCAGAGGAAGAAGAGCTGACATCATGGGGAAAATGACTCCTTTGGAAAACATTAAAATCTGAATCTTTTCAGATTTTGTTTGTTTGTTGCTGTTATTATGCCACTAAAATAGGATTAACCAACTGGTACTTGTTCCTAATGCTAACAAATAAGTAATTACGCATTTATTAATTTAAAAATTACACTACCATTTTTCGCTAGATGAAGATATTATTATAGAAAATTTCTTTAATCTTGCAGAAATCATATCATTTTACCCCTTGAATGAATTATGTCAAAATTTGCTATAATGATTCTATGAAATGAAATTACAGAAATTATTTTATTTATAAAAGAATAAATGGTAAATTATTTTCTCAATGAAAATCTCAGTTAATGCACAATTAATATTTACCAGCATCTGGGTGTTCTACAGCTGCTTCTGGAGTCCACGGTCCTGCTTTGACGTAACCTCGTTTTTCTAATGAAAACACAAATCCACCATCACCTATAACAATGCCCTCCTTGAGACGATCTAAAAGACCTTTTTTTACCTGAAATTTATATGTATCAAAATTTATTATTCCGAAGAAAATTCCCTTAGTTAAATATTATTTTTGTGTAACTGAATATACCCCTATCAAAAAATAGCAATCTGACTCATTAACTATTCATTAGCTGAATATATATAGATTAACCATTCATTAGCTGAATATATATGAATTTAATGTAGGATCCTTATTCAAAGCAGAAAACAGCTAATATGGAAAAAACATTTTACTTCAAATTAATACCCTAATATAAATGAAATCATTGCTTTATTGATGAAATAATAGCTCAAAATACTCATGGATAATTTAATTATTTTGAATGATGAAAAAAATATAATCTTGAATATATTACAATTCAGTTCCCACCTTTTATGCAGGAAAAAAAAAAAAAATAAATAAAGCCAGTCTTGAATTCAATCAAATCATTTACAGAATAAATTTGAAAACAATATGTTTTAAGTCTAATTTAAAATAAAAATGAAAAGTACAAAGATCACCTTAAAGAAAATAAATGTATTATCACCACTATCTACAAATTTTTATTTTATTTTATTTATTTATTTATTTATTTATTTTTTTTTTTCAGTTACAAAGATGAAATAACCCTTCCATCTCCTGAATAGGAATATAAATTTTGTTTTCTAAAATTGGCTCTTGTTTAGAAGATAAAGCAAATTTCATGTTATCTTTGAACATTCAAAAGCAATATTTTGCTCATAATTTAAGAATCTGGCATTACTGAAATAAGAAATGATTGGCTTTTCTTTAATAACTATGGTAAAATTTAGAAGTCGATATTTTTCCTAAAAATATATATAGAGAGACAATAACAAAACATTAATAATGTTTGGATTAAAAAAAATGCACATCTAAAAACTGAAAATATCTGCACCTTTTCAGCTTGTCATTTGCAACTAACTAGTGCCCCATCATTTCTAATACTTCTGCAGAAATTAGTCAACTTCATTGGATACAACTTCCCTTTGAATCTATCTCCTATTATTGCAATTTGCTGATGAAAGATTCTCCACGTTCATCAGAATGAGGGGGGGGGGTGAGACCAGAACTTCAGATTTTTAATGCTTCTCTGTATCATCTCCATCTTATATATCCAGCTTGAAACATTCTAGTACATCCCGACTACACGCAATTGCGTGTCTAGGTGAGAACAGATTCAGGTGCACAAATGTGCTCTTTTTATTACATCTTTTATAAAATACACGACTAAATAGAAATAGCAGATTTGATAATAAATAGAATGTTGCCTCCTCATGGGCCCTCCAAACTGCATATGGTGACCTTTCCCACACCCTTATGCATGAAGAATAGAAAAACATGTGGTGCATCATACATGAGCCCAAAATCATTCCTGATCTCTAACTTTGTATTAAAAGTGTAAGAAGTAAGCCTTGCTTGTTTTAGGATTAATAGCATATATTCTACACTTAAACATAACTCCTTCGTATATATAGAAAAAACTGTTTGGTTTATTCACAAGCATATGTGGCATGTTTCACTAGCACTTTTCACCCAGAATGAAACCCATTGTTCTGTGACTTAGCGCTCTGCTACTGGTGCGTCCCCAAGTAGCGCAAGACTTTTCAGATGAGTATTTACTGACATTCAACTGCATGACTGAATAAATTTTCATTTCCCAGAAATGTTATTATTTTTAGAATAAAGAGGAAATAACTAAATTAAGAAACAGCAATTAAGAAAATAAAAAATGTGAAAATCAAATTTATAATTTAATTAAGCTGATTTACATTATTTTTATCTTACACACACACACACACACACACATATATATATATAATTATGGTTCAGCAGCTGATGACACAGCAGACAACACGCCTATGCTATTAGCATTCAGTTAGTCTTATATGGCATGTCGTAATTTTGAAATAATGAAGTTTAGACCAATTTATTATAAACAGTTACAACTTTTAGGACAGAAAAGGGAAATAACTGAACTAAAATAGAGAGTTAACTCTCTAAGAGGCCAAGGAACTGCTTTGAAACCCTAAAGTTTCCCTAAAGGTCCATGAGTAAGTGGTATTTTCTTGATTATAACTCCAAAATTACCCGTCCACTTTATACCTCGACTCATTTCCTCCCAATATATTTAGTACCTCAATTGCCTTGGTACATTTCAGGATGTATATGTGTGAATTTAGATTTATCATGACAAATAAGTTTGATCTCATATTCATATGTATAAGATATAAAATATGAAAGAAAATTACTAACAAATTATTAACTAATTTGACAACAGCCTTTTCAACTCCTGATTTTAATTTAGCTAGGTAACTTTCAAAGGAACTGTATTGTGTCACCTTCATCCTTGACTGATACTTTTTTTCGCCACATATAAAACTTATGTCAGGTATTTGGTAATAAATACAAGCAATGAATTACGAGAGATAATGGAGATGATTCAAAATAAAACTAACTAAGTTAGACCACACAAATATTTAATTATTTACATAATGTACAAAGTTACACAAGTTAGGTGCTCTATTAGTACAAACAAAGTGGAACGAGTGAACACACTATAGGTCCGCTGTGTACATTCTTCAGCTAACTAAACTAAATTTTGCTCCTCTCACAAGAGGGTGCTGATCCTGGATGGTGCTATATTAAACCGAACATCAGGCCTGTTTTGGAGTATAGGGCTGAACTTATAGCCAGTGCCTCTTGTACCTGTCAAGAAGATATTGACTTGATGCAAAATAAGGCACTTAGGATTGTTACTGATGCAGCTGGTTCCACTCCAGTCACTGTCATGGAGATTCAGACTGGCACTGAGCCTTTAAAGTTTATAAAAAAGCAGGTTTCAAAACTCCATGATAAGTGTAAAAGATTGAATTTGCAACACTGGAAACAGTACTCCCCTGCCACCCCTAGACTGAAAACACATAAATCATTTATCTCTTGTGCTGAGGAACTCTGTACTTTACATATTAGCATGCCTACTTTACTCCACCCCTATCCCGTTTGGCCTCTCTCCTCCTACTTATAATTTTGCCATTGATATGCCTCAGAAGCAATATGATGCAGTTCCTGATGCTCTTAAAGCTCTTTCTTTAGAAGTTATAGCTACAAATTACCCTAGCTCTGAGTGGATCATATTTATACTGATGGCTCTGCATGTGAGGAAAATACTGGTGCTGGCTTGTACTGTGAAGGATATTTTGAGGAATCCTATGCTGTTGGTTCTAATGCCTTTAACTTTGATGCAAAGATAAAATGCTATGGGAAAAGCAATTTTAAATCTTCTTGGACTTGACACCAACTTTAGCAAGGTATTTGCCACTTTGCACACTTTTAGCAATGTAAAGTCTGAGTAAAAACTTTAAGGCCAGTAAAAATTTTTGAGAAAATGGAAACATTTAAACTGAGGAATTAAAATACCATTTGATTGATAATTATTGAGCTTAAATAAAAGTAAAAAAAGTAGAAAAATTAAGTTGAAAATATTTTATTATTAGAATATATTACAGAAAACACAGATGAATATTTGAGCCTGAGTAAAAACTTTAAGGCTGACATAGAAAATAACATATAAGAAAAAAATTACAAATTCTTAGAAGGTTGTGTAGGAGTCATTTCTTCGAATTACTTCAAATATTCTTATTTTCATGGATGAAACGATTTTTTACAAAGGGTATGGTCAGTTTTATACCATTCATCTTTGATAGTAGATTTCAGCTCTGTTGTTGATGTAAAATGTCACCCATTTGCATAAACTCTTCTTGCTAAGTCACCCCAAAGGTTTTCGATTGGGTTGAGGTCAGGTGATCTAGCTGGCCATTTCACAGTTTCAACATTGTTGACCAATTTTTTTTTCCGTTACTCGAGTGGATCGATGCATTGTCTTGCTGATATTTCCAATTTTCTCCAGCAAGACATTCAACATTTGGCAAAAGATGATTTGTTAGGACATTTTGGTATCCTTGTGAATTCATTCTACCTGAAACGAATGCAATTGAGCCCACACCATTGTAAGCAAAACAGCCTCAAGTCATGACAGACCCTCCACCTAATTGGCACTTGGAGAATATTTCTTTTTCATTTCTTATATCATGCCAATAAAAATTCCAGCCATCTGGTCCATCCAAATTCCATTTTTTTCGTCAGAAAAAATAATTTCTATCCATTGGTTGTCCCAGGTCATGACATTTTGGCCAAAGTTCAAACGCTCTATTTTGTGTCCTCTGCAGTAACTGAGGTTTAGTCAATTTTGCTGTATAAGTTGAACCTTCCAGACCTTCTAATTGTGTTATATCTCGTTTTTTGACAAACTTTTAAACCTGTCGTCGGAATCAGTTTCCTGGTTGAGTACTTTCCAGTAGATACAAGTTGGCAAACTCTTCTTTCATCCCGCGAGGACAAAGCTTTAGGTCTTCCCCCAGTATTCTTTTTACCATAATTGTCTTTCAATTAAAAAAATTATTGACTACAGTCTTTGATCTTCCTATCTTTATCGTAATAGCACGACTACTCATTCCTGTTGAAGACAAAGCTTCGATCTCTCCTCTTTCAAAATCAGTTAACTTCTGACCCTGTGCCATCTTCACAAAGATCACCAATACTTCGAAGAAATGTATGACAAATATGAAAATTGCAGCGTTGTCACAAGCTAGTAGTTGCAATGGTAATTACATGATTATATTATATTTATTTTTAAAATTGACTGGTGGCCTTAAAGTTTTTACTCAGGCAGAAATACTAACTTTGTAAATAACCACGTTTCTCATAATTATGTATTTACAAATTATGTTTATAGTATTTATTTCTTATCAATGAACTTTAATAATTAATATTATTTGAATCCCTTTTTTTTTCATTTTACATTTTCTCAAAAATGTTTACTGGCCTTCAAGTTTTTACTCAGGCTGTATATGCCACTTGTTTGTTGACTCCTGGGCTGCAATTACAGCAGAAGTCTCCTATATGACTAGTAATTATTTTCTTGTTGAAGAGACTAAGATAAATGTATC